AATAGCTGGAATATGCATAGTTTTGAGTAGAATGAGGTAGCTAGAGTATAAAACAACATAGATTGAGTAAAAAGAATCCATTCCAAACCCTGGTACAATGGTTTCGCTCCACAGGCGTTATACTCTAGGTGTCCCTCACTGCCATCAGCAAACGTTAGCAAGTAGCATGTAGGCTTTTGATATTCTGTCTCAAATTCATTATATTGTTAGCTGTTTTCATTGGACCACCTGGTTTTTATGGGCAGGGGTGCCACCCAGAGTCTTGCCTAGGGAGTCAAATAAGCTGTTAGGGCTTGCACTGGTCATGAGAAAAAGTTCTACGTAGATCAATGGTTCCCAACCCTGGTTCTTGAGGAACACCATGCTGTATGTGTCAGTTGTTTCCCTTCTTTCACACATCTGATTTAAATGAAAGGGTGATTAACAGGCTCCTGCAGAACACGAGGAAGTAAGTAATTCACTGAGTCAGGTGCGTTGGAGCAAGAAAACAACTAAAACATGCAGGATGGTGTTCCTCAAGGACCTGGTTTGGGAACCACTGATTATGGCGAGTCAATAACAAGCTGCAACAACAACAACCAAAAAAAGTCATTCTTTTTTCACAGCTCTGGAGAAATTACAAGTTCAATTTTTATTGTCATTTCACCACGTGGTACATGAGGTGGAATGAAATTATGCACACATGGTCCCAGTTACACCTTAACAATAGCAAAAATATGAAGTGTAAAACGAAACAGTAAACCAGGATCTAAGATATAAACATAAAGAAAGTACAGGTTTCTAGATTTTTGCAGAGTATTCTGCAGCCCATAGCCCTGGGGTTATTCTTGTCAATCAAAATACTCCTTTGGTTTTCACAACTTGCCTGTTTTTAATTTTACGTTCAATTTTCAATTGTGACCGCTGAAAAACGCAATAAAAATGTTCTGGAGAATGTGACATCGTTGTACTTATAAACTGCAGTGCTTAAAAATGATTAGAGCCACACAAAGCTAACACTGATGTAATTATTGCTGTTCTTAACATTTAGTTTTGATTTTTCAAAAGAGCTTCAACAAAGAATAAAGCAATTCATCTAGATTTTAAAGTCAATTTGGCAGAAGATTTTTTATGTTGGTCTTTCGTCTGCTTTTGGCAAACGCTGCAGAGATTTCCTGGCCTTCTCTGCCCAGCCTCAGCTTTACAGTAGCTTTTAAAAACAGTGTGGTTTGTGCTGTGTTGGGTGGATCCGGGCGCTCTGCTGTGTTGGGGGCCCAAACAATCTTCCTCAGACATCCTGTGTAATTATAAATCCCTGGCAGCAACAGAAAAAGCAGGAGCTGATTTTCTCACTGGCCTTTCTTGGGTAAATGTGTAACAGATGCTCTGCACGTTCGACCAGGCTTGCTCAACATATGGGTTGTTTCCTAAATTAGTGTCTGACCTTTGAACCCTCACCTTTTTTTCCAGGCACGGTTCTGTTTGATCTGAGAGCTGACATCAGCACTGCTCCTCCTATCTGCGCCTTCACAAATAAATGCTTAACGTCGGCCCCGATCATCTACAGTGCAGTCTCTTTATGCTATTACAATAAAATTATTTGTGTCATGAGCTCATTTAAAATTAGATGTGCATTATAAAACATGTACTTTGTATATGATATTTACAATCTCGTGCAATATTGCGAGATCTCATAAGTCATGTCAGCACTCGGAGAACGTGTTGAAGAGCCTCTCATCCACAGCTGCACTAAATCTTAGTGAAATCCCTGTAAAATTCACAGTTATAGTGATTTTGTCTTGGCTAATGCCACTTGGCTGTGATGGACATCTTGAATTGGGTTGGCGCCAAAATTTAATGTTACTTTTTGAGAGTTGCATTGAAAATCACTCAGTGATTCACACAATATTTTGCTAACGGTACAGACAAACAAGCACACGCAAGTGAATATTTCTATCCATTTTCTAAGAATTTCAAAAACAAGCAACTGGACTTCTTCTTCTCCATCTCCTGCCACTTATCTGTAGTTGAGTCGTGGGGGCAACAAGTCCAGGAGTGAACCCCAGACATACCTCTCCCTAGAGACACTTTCAAGCCTGTCCTGAGGGACTCCGAGACGTTTCCAGGCCAGAGAAGAAACACAGTCCCTCCAGCTACTTCAGGGTCTTCTTCAGGGCCTCCTACCAGTGGGACGTGCCCAGAAAAGAGACACCCAGGAGGATCCTGATTAGTTACCTGAACCACCTCAATTGATTTTCGATGCGGAGAAGCAGCGGCTCTGAGCTCCCTCTGGATGTCGGAGCTCCTCACCCTGTGAAGGAAGCTGATTTCGGCCTGTTGTATCCTGGCTCTTGTTCTTTTGGTCATGATGCTGTGGGAGTTCTGGTTCCTGCATGTCTCTCACTGTCTCCCACAGCTGCAGCAGAGACTAATCAGCTACCCACTCACAGCTGATCCTGATTTGGAGGACTGCTCTGCAGGAGTATATAAGCTGCTGCAGACACTCCTTCAGCGCTGGGACGTTATTCTTCAAATGGTAAAGGTAATGGGCAGCCTCTATGTCTCCAGACCTTTAACTTGCTAAGAACAGTGCTTGTTATCTTCTACAGTGACTTCCTAGGCATTAGCTCTTCCAGGACTCGACTCACTCTGATGGTGTCCCACAACCAAAGCCTCCAGCCTGAATCATCAACTCTCTGCTCCAACACAACCTGTTCCTCTCTCCAACGGTGCTTACCTCTCTTCAAGTTGGCACCTCCTGGAACCAAAGACCTCAACCACTCCCCTCTGATTCATACAACAAAGACATTATCAGTAACCAAACAAAACCCTTAAATAATATTCATCCAAGACCATCTTCAAACACTCACCTTGTCCCTGCTTCCTTTTCAGCCCTGAACCCTCACCTGTAAATATATTTATTTTTGTAGATTCTGTCTTTTCTTCAGTTTGCCACCTGGGGTCAGTATCTAATTACAGTCATGTTGGATGCAAACTTCATGACCATAGGTAAGGGTCAGAACGTATAGGCCAGTAAATTAAAAGCTTAGTAAATCGACTCCGCTCTTCCTTCACCACGACTGACCAAAGCAACACCCTCATTATTGAGGAAGAAGCCCCAATTTGGTGATCCATCTCCCTTTCTGTTCTACCATCATTCAGGAACAAGACACCCAGATACTTGAACTCCTCCAAGTGATGATGAGGATAAAGTGGATGACATGAGTCGACGGGGGAGAGGGCGGGTCCCAGAAACCACCTTATCACCAATAAACTGGTTGGTTTGCTATGTGGGTGTGCTGTTTGTGGGACTGAGTTTGTTGTGGCTCCTCAGACTGATGAAGTCATTTGGATGAAGGATGAAACGTCTCAAAAACAAACCATCCAGATGACCTGACTGAACTTTGTTGGATTTTGTGCCTGGATTATTAAGCATGAACTTTGGGGAGGCTGACGACCCAGCTCCCCCCGGCCCAGTAGACGGAATGACCGCAGGGATAAAATGAAGCCAGACACAAAAATAAATAACCAACACTTTATTTGCAGATTAACAACAAAAACACAATAAAATAACTATTTGACTTTGGCAGCAACTAAAACAACCAAGTCCCGGTTTGTGGTGGAAGAAACTAAAACGGCAACTGTTCACAAAGTAATGAGTGAAAACGGGCTGATGTGGCAGCGAACAACACAACAGGAGAAGAAAACCCCAGGGGCACAAAGAAGCAGCAGACAGGGCATGAAAGCATAATGTCAGACTGAAGATGAGCTGCGTGAATGAGTTAAAGAGCCTGGATTGATAAGGGACCGAGACTAATGATCGCAGGGAACGTGTGTGAGTGAGAGGAACAGGAGAATGAAGGAATTAGATGCACAAGGAATAAACTGAACAGAAAATAAAATAAAAAATGAAGTAAACAGTATTTATAAAACGATGGTGACAAAGTGCAGCTGCTGGTAGGTGGCAAACAGGGTCTGACTTTAACTTGGTGACTTCGCAGTCAGATCTGAACTGACCGTTCTGTCTCTGTGGTGGTAAAAAAGTCTGATGCCGAACAAATTAATCCGCATCTCAAACTTGTTGTTCAGCAAAATGCAGAAACTGAGTGAGTGTGGCTGAAAGCAGAACTCTAAGCTTGTTAAAAGTATTATATACAGTATCTGTGAGATGAACCACTTCTTCTCCAAAGTCACTGAGATGGTCTACAACAAGAGCTCAAGGAGCCCCTGTCTCCACTCAGAACAGAGCAAACAGGATGAAATGTGTCACTGGGTCGAGGTCCAGAATCCTCCTGGAGTCTTTATCCTCGTACTGTGGAGCTGCAGACACACAACACCGAGGGATGTTCAGTGTCTGTCCTGACATCATGAGGAGGCAGAACCTGCTGCTTAAGTCCCTGAAGTCCCACTCGGATGTGTCTGTGTGTGGGGTGGGGGCTTGGTCTTTGTATTATCTGGGTGTCCAAATACTTCTTTAAAACGTCTTCAGTTGATCCAAAATGCTGCTGCCAGAGTCTTAACTGGAGTTACTGGGAGAGATCATCTCTCTCCAGTTTTAGCTTCGCTCCATTGGCTCCCTGTCAAAACCTACAAAACCCTCAACAACCTAGATCCATCTTATTGTTCCATAATAACAATATTAAAACTGTGGGTATGAAGCAGAACAAATCAGGCACAGATGAACATTATAAGATCTGCAGCAGACAACATGGAATCAAACAATCTGGGACTGAAGTCACCAAATCTGTAAAGATATAAATATTATTTTTTAATATAAATAAGTAAATATGTTGTTTCAGCTCTACAACACTTTAGACAGCAGCAGAAATATGTTAAAACAAGCCGTCATTTTGTGTCTTGACTAACATTTAGGGGTTATTTAAACGTGCGCACAAACAAAACCACAAATCATTTATTAGATTGTTTGTTTTGAACACTTATAAATTAAGAAAGCACAAGGGATCCTTTAAAATAAGCTAATTAAATAAAGCAGTATACTGTTAGCTGTCTTGTCTCTTGCTTTTCCCACAATAATTCATGTCTAATTTAACATTTTCAAAGTGAGCTAGCTGAAAACATCCTCAGCTGCTGTCATTTGTCAGACATTACCATGCAAAGGCAGTCATGCGTTTATCTTGCATATATTTTATATATTGTTGTTATCTGTCAGTGTTTGGAGTTAACTCAGCGCTGGATTAGACTACGATGGTGGGAAATAAACGTGTTTCCTCAGTTCAGCTGTAGCGTTCAATAGAAAATGCTCCTGAGTCGCTGGACTTGAAGGCTGATTGTCTGAGTGACAGCTGGGAGTGAAACAAGCCGTTATTTTGTGTGTCCAGGGGGTTGTCTGACACCTGCAGTAAAAAACACAGACAAATAATGACCGGTTTTAAGATTATTTATATAATCCAGTTATGTTACACAATGTAGATATTTTAAAAAAGAATATTGGTACACTTGGTTTTGAGTATTTTCATTTCCTCCTCACTAATCTTTTGCATTTCCAGACGTACAACCGTTAGTAATCGCTTCATTTACATCTACAGCTGATTAGCCGGTTTGGAATAGCCCGATTCAAGATGGCTGACACAGCCAAGTTGTCACGTTTCCTGTGTTTAGAACCCGTTTGCAGACAGAACACGTAGACTCTGAGAATCAAAGTAAGAAATAATTTATTACTAAGAACAAAAGGCTGATGGGACAGCAAGCTTGCATGATGCTGGGAACACGGAACATGGAGGGAGACATGGAAACGCCCAAACAACGAGGAACACGGGACCAGACCTAAACAGGGACGTTAACGACAGACAAACGACAACACCTGGGCAGGACAACAGGAGGCGGAGGCAGGAGCTGATTACACGAGGAAGAAACACTGAGGAGCAGGAACGAACACAAGAGGGACACACACAAGAAGACAGAGCCTCACACAAGTGAATTAAAAATACTATGATTCAGTCAGTTCTACATGAGCTACAGTTGGTGCAGTTGTAACTGAAAGTCTGTCACAACATAATATCTCATGGTATTGCATGATGCATAATGTTATTTTCAAAGATTGACCAAAATGGCTATGACCCTGGGGTGGCACGGTGGCTCAGTTGGTAGAGCTGGTGCCTCTCAGTGAAAAGGTCACCAGTTCAAATCCTGGTCCCGGGGCCTTTCTGTGTGGAGTTTGCGTGTTATCTCCACGCATGTGTGGGTTTTCTCCGGGTACTCCGGTTTCCTCCCACAGACCAAAAACATGCATGTTAGGCTGATTGGTAACTCTAAATTGTCCCTAGGTGAGAGAGAGAGTGAATGGTTGTTTGTCTTATTTGTCTCTATGTGTCCCTGTGATGGACTGGAGACCTGTCCAGGGCGTACCCCACCTCTCGCACAGTGATTGCTGGACATGGGAACCAGTGACCTGAAAAAGGAAGAAGCGGGGAAAGATAATGGATGGGTGGATGTGAATATGGATGGATGGATGGATGGATATAAATATGGATGATGGATGGATGGATATGAATATGGATGGATGGATGGATGGATGGATGGATATGAATATGGATGGATGGATATGAATATGGATGGATGGATGTATGGATGGAAATTAATATGGATGGATGGATATGAATATGGATGGATGGATGTATATGAATATGGACGGCTCTGACCCTGTTGCTTCTCATCACACAATGGCCTTGATAGGCAGTGGGTGATATGCATTCCTTCAAGGAATGCTCAGCCTTGAGTCTATCATCTGCTTCATAAATTATTTATGAAAACTCAGAGTCTAGTGGAATGATTTAAACGAGTCCTTTGAAATATATTAAGAAAATGTATTGAATGAAACAAACAAATAAATAAATAAGCTAATAAACAAATAAATAGATAAATAATTAAATAAATATATAAACATACAAATGAACAAACAAATAAATAAATAAAAGGCACTCTAGTGTAAACAACACGTTATCCACCACTAACGTATCAGCAACATTCTAGTTACCTGATACTTTTAGGTCCTGCAAATTATTTTAATAAATCTAGCTCCACCACATCAACAGTAGATAAAACAATGAACAGGCATAAAAAAATCTAAATAAACTAATTTATTTGAACGTCAGCTCGCATGTTATAACAAATAAAACACAGCTTGCTTCCTGTTTAAATTAATATTTATATCTAATTGAATACAATTTCTGCTGCCTGTTCATCTTAAGAGCCTGGTATTTTACCTCCTCAAACTTCTTGGCCTTGTACTGCTCAGCTCCTTTCAGGAAGTTAAGCAGTATTATATCACACAACACTGTGCCCTGTAGAATAAAAGAATGACACAGACAAACAATAATGTTAAACTCACCTGTTTCATGACACAATATGGTACAAAGACATGCAATTTTACATCCAAGAAGATCAATGTATTTTAAACATTTAACAGTTCAAAATTATTTCGTAGTAAATAAAACCCCACAAAGGTGAAAGTGTAGCTACACAAAGTTTATAAATAAAAAAACAACATTCGAGCCTGTCCAACTCTTGCACTTGGGCAATTCCACCTCACTTTCAAACCTCGGTCTTCTACCAGAGGTCTGGAGCTTGAAGGTTCTGCGTAGCATCTTAGACGTTCCTAGGATTGTACTCTTCTGAACAGAGATCTCTGGGGTTGTTCTTGGGATCTGTTGGAGCCATTCCTCCAATTTGGGGGTCACAGCACCAAGTGTTCTAGTAACAATAGGGACTACTGACACCTTGACTCTCCACAACTTCTGTATTTCCTCTTTTAGTCCTTGGTATTTTTCACACTTTTCATGCTCCTTCTTTCTAATGTTACAGTCACTTGGGATTGCTTTATCTTTCACCACTGTGCTCTCCACAAGCTTGTCGATCACCACAATGTCCAGTTGGTTAGTCACCACCTGTTTGTTGGTCTGGATCTGTAAGTCCCGCAGTATCTTAGCCCTTCCTTTCTGCACCACCCTTGGTAGCATCTCCCTCTTTGACTGTGGGACCTCAAGTCCATCCTAGGTACAGATATTCCTGTTTACTGTTCCAGCCACTTGCTTGTGGTTTTCCATGTATGCTTTATCGGACTGGATCTTCTATCCTGCTATTATGTATTGGACTGTCTCAGGGGCATCTATGCACAGCGGACATCTTGGGTCTTGTCTGGTATGTTAGACCTCAGCCTCTATTGCTCTTGTCCTGTCATTATTAGTGCCTTTGTCCTTCAGTCCAGCCCTCTCTAGCCATGCGTAGGATTTGTTGATATCAGCCACTTCCTTAGTCTTCCAGTGGTACGTGCTGTAGAGGGCATTATTTGGGTTTCTGCTGCTGCCTGAGACAATCACCTATCAGTTCATCATTGATGGTATCCTCTTGATGTACTCCAGGCCCTCAGTTGTTTCATCCTGTATAGTGGCTCAGATGATCACTATCCTCTGCCTCCCTTCTTTCTCAGTGTATAGTCTCAGGGTGCTGGACTTGGGATGAAACTCTATGCACTGTGATGAGCTTTCAAGTCTTGATATCAGTGGTTTCTATCTTCTCCTTTGACCAGGCTATTATACAAGTTAGGCATCTGATGACTGGCACCACATACATGTTGATGGCTCAGACTTTGTTGTTGCCATTCAGCTGTCTCTTCAGGACCTGCCTAACACTCTGTAGGTACTTGTGGCTGAACTTCTTGCAGCCTCATCATGATTGTCATTGGCCTATGGTTTTCTAAGGTATTTGTAGATGTCCTGGACATCTGCAATCTTACGTGACACTCAACTGCATTTATCCAGTCCAAATGATATTCCAATGTCCTTGCTGTATATCCTGGTGAGGTGGATCAGTGAGTTGATATCTTACTCATTTTTGGCATGCAACTTGATGTTATCCATTCAGAAGAGGTGACTGATGATTCACTTTGGAACCAGTATCCATTGCCACTCTTTTCAATGATCTGGCTGAGAGGGTTAATGTATATGCAGAACAGGAGTGGGGACAAAGCATCGCCTTGGTATATGCCACATTTGATGCTGACTTGTTCAATTGGCTTTGAATTGACCTCTAGAGTTGTCTTTCACATTCCCATTGAGTTCTTGTTTATGTTGTATCAACATTGTGTCAAGAACTCCAGTATCCATGTGTGTGTGGCATCAAGTCATAGGCTTTCATGTAGTCTATCCAGACAGTGCACAGGTTTGTGTGTCTGATTTTACAGTCTCAAACTGGTTCTGTTGACCAGTATCTGGTGCTTGGCTCCTGTGGTATTGGTGCTAGTTCCCTTCTGGTGGTGGTCCATAGGTCTATATTCATTGCACCTTCCTGTTGTTCTGACTGTAGTTGTTATCCATGGCTTATTCATTGTAGGCTTGAACTTATAGCCAAGCAAGTCAAGGATCACTGTTGCTGTGGTGTATAGGTTAAGCTCTTCTTGCTGATTTCTGTGATGGTGTCAGTAGATATACTTAGCAATACTGCATTCACATCTTCTAGCAAACTTTCAGAAGGTACTTTGTCACCTTGGAAGTGAATTGTCACTTAGCCTTGGCAAGGGGTGCAGATTATGTCTAATGGTGCTTTACCACTGTCTCAACTCTCATCGGTTCTGCACCACACTGCACCAGTTATGGGTCTGCCCACTGCCGGTACCCACTCCCACTCAGCCCGGTTTATGGGACCATCTTATTTGAGGGTTCAAGTGGACTGCTCCAAGATGCTGATTTTGAAGTAAGCAGACAGCAGCCATTGATTGGTCAGCTGAGCTTTGTAACTGGATGAACCATCCAGCAAAACTGCAAAGTACATCTGAAACTCTATTTCCTCTGAAATGCCATTTCCTCTCTGACTGTGTTGACGAACAGCACCACAGGTTAACACTTTTACAGAGAGATATCAGAGATGATGGCACAGCATGGCTACACCCAGACTTATGAGCAGTGCCAGGATAAGCAAAAAAAAAAAAGAAGTACAATTATAGGACAATTCAGTACCACAATGGGCAGAGTGGCTCAAACACTATGAACAGTTACGATTCTGCCCACTATGCATTGGTGAGCCCACCCAAAGAACAGGGAAACAAGTCGCAGTGGCAAATTACCTATACCTGAGAAGAATCAATAAGACGAGAGCTGAGTGGATTCAAACTTATCAATGGCAACGTGGCTTAGCTTGGTCACAGTCTTCATTATCTGATCAGCTGTCCTTGCATTCAGTCCCTCAGGACTTTTCAATGGGGCTGGGTACCCATACTCCGATGGTGAGGATGGTGGTCTATGGCCCCCTGACCTGTTGTCCTGGCTCCCTCTTGCCGTTGGTGGAATACTGGGTCCAATGTTGTTTCTGAGTCAACTTGAATGAAGGGTATTGCAGTTTCCATAGTTCCCACATCCTTTCCATATAGCTCCTCTTTCTAGGCTGGCTTGCATAATAATATTGTTAAGTTGTTACACAGTGTTAATTTCTCTGTCCTTGTCCATGCATGTCCTGTTCCAGTAGACCATTTCTCACCAGAATGCCGTGATTCCCCAATATCTGACACAGACTTTATTAATCCAAACTATGTCCAAGCCGGCAAGGCTTTGATATTATGTCCCTTGCTCATTGTGTAATTGAAGTTGTTTGAAGGTTAGCACCAATTTATGTGCCCTAGCTGAGCTGTAATATATATTAATTATAGCTATTTTTTTGTGTTAGTGGAAATAAATAGCAAAAAATAATATGAAAGGTATGTTAGTACCAGGGCAGCACAGTGGCACAACTGGTAGAGCTGCTGCCTCTCAGCGAGCAGGTCCCTGATTCAAATCCCGGTCCAGGGGCCTTTCTGGGTGGAGTTTGCATGTTCTCTCCGTGCATGCGTGGATTTTCTCTCCGGGTACTCCGGTTTCCTCCCACAGACCAAAAACATGCATGTTAGGCTGAATGGTAACTAAATTGTTCCTAGGTGAGAGTGAGAAAGTGAATGGTTGTTTGTCTCTATGTGGCCCTGTGATGGACTGGAGACCTGTCCAGGGTGTACCCCACCCCTCGCACAGCGATTGCTGGACATGGGCACCGGCGACCCCCATGACCCAAAATGGAAGAAGCGGGTAAAAGATAATAGATGGATGTTAGTACCACTTACCACTCCCACTGATGTGAATGCAGCCACAATGTTTATGAGTGTAGGGATCATGTTAAACTTTCCAGCCTGTAAAAGAAAAACATTGGTGAAAATTAACAGGTTTACAGTCCACTGATAGCACAGATATGAACTGAATCCATATATTACCAAACTGGAATTTATTTACAAGGTTAATTTAATGTAAAATCCAAAGTTCACTAAACCTCAATGGTTCGTTCCAGTTTATTTGGATATTTCCTCTTTGAATCAAGTTAATGCTTCTCCCATTTTCTTTTGTCTGGGTTATGTTAAGCCCCATCTTCCAAGCGTATATAAATTTCAGTGACTGAATGTAATCTAAATGCTCGCCTTTATTTAAATGAGGTCGCTGTGATTGGATGAACAGCTCCAAAACGTGCCCATTGTGAAACTTTAAAATGTCCATTTAGTGCAAAAACAGTCTCTGCCCTGTCTCGTCTTACACTGTTGTTGCTTTTGTGTTTAGTTCTCACTTTGCTCCAATGACTTAGTCTTGTGTTTTTATTTGTTTTTCACCCTTCAAACAAGTTTTCATTGTTCAAATGTTTTCATCATGGTAGAAACATTTTGCAGTGTCGGCCAGGACAAAACTTTTACTTATACACAGCTAAAAAGTCAAGTGGGCGACACGGTGGCTCAGTTGGTAGAGCTGTTGCCTCTCAAGAAGAAGGTCGTCGGTTCAAACCACGGCCCGGTGGGTCTAGGCCTCCCAAAAATGGATGGATCAATAATGACAGGAGGAGTTATTGATTGAATTTGTTCCGGTGGTATATACTAGTATAAAGGGTCAGACCCCAGCCTGGTTTACAATTTCAATAGTGATTTTTATTAGTTCTAAAAACTAATTAGGGTGCCTATGAGCCAAGGTGAGTATGAAGCAGGGTTAAATGAGTGCAGACTAAAAAGTCAAATATATAGTTACCAGAGCTGCAAAAGTTTAAAACGGACAAAGTATGAGTTGACCTGGAGCTTCACAAGCACCGAATTAGTGTGGTAGAGCAATAAATATTTTTTATTCTTTTGGTAAACAGTTTTGTATTGAATAGAATTAGATCTTGTATTAATCGTTTGATGAAAATGCCATCAAGGGCGCCCTGCCTCCCTCCTGTTAGAGATAGGCACTAGCCACTCATGACTTTGAACATTATCCATGTACAGAAAATGGATGAAGGGTTAGTTCTTGTATCGATTGTTGAAACTCAAACTTTGATAAAAGATGAAAACGTATACAGTACTCACATTTCCATTGACAATGACGTCAAATCTAATGGCAAAGGCTTTGACCAGAGTGCGGTAGTCCGTCCCATTTTCCATCTTGAAGTATTTTGCAAATCTGTACAGACAAACCCATTACAGCAAAATAATCTGAATGGATTACGTCAATGTTAAATTGTTGTAGATTATTTTCACATTTATACTCACATCTACTCACTCCACAAGTTAGTAGATCCCCCCACCCCCATTTTAGAGGACATTGATCTTTACTGACAAAAAACCGTAGTCTCCTTTTAACCGTTTCCAAGCCCCTTGTTACAGTTACATCAGACGATACAAATATCCTGATGCATGCTCAGCCGATACAGCGTTTATGACAAATATCTAACAAAGTTAAGTCAGGTCCTCTGGATGAATTCTTCTTGTTGAAACATTTTTTCTTTTATCCAAAGGACTTCATCAGTCCGAAGACCTGCAATAAACTCAGTCTTATAAATAGCACCTTCTCATAGTGGATCAACCAGTTTACTGGTCACATCCAGAACTAGCTGTTCACATGATAACGGAGGACCATCAGCCTAACGACCGATCGTTAGTGCCATGATGGCCGCTTGTTATTCACAGAGGGCTTAGTGATCAAGGCCTCCGTGTCCATTTGTCACCTTCTTACAATGCTGTTATTCGTAGTATCACTGTAGCCCGACAGATTTCCAAACTTTTTCAGTAAGTACATTAGATCTATAAATTATTTCTCTGTCCTCCATGTAGACCAGCACATCATCAGCAAACGTCGCCACCTTGTGTTCAACTCCTGCTATTGTCACTCCCTTAATTTCACTTCTTTGTCTTTTTACTTGTCCCAAAGGCTCAATAAATATTGCAAATAGAACTGGAGAGATTGGTCAGTCCTGATGGGTTCCCTGTTCTAGTACAAAAGAGGCCAAAAGATTGCCGTTGATTTTTATCCAAGCTGTTGGTCTGGAATATAAGGATTGAAGTACTCTAATTCATTTATCATGTATTGCAAACTTCACAAGGACTTTATAGGTAAAAAAAAAAAAAAAAAGCCATCATGCAGAATCAAATGCCTTTTTTGTGTCGAGTCCAACTATTAAAGTTTTAGTGTTTTTTGTTTTATTTGATCTATAATAGGTAATGTCATTTTAATGTTATAATGGAATGTCATATTATCTATTGTTTGCCTTTGATGTATAAAGCCGGTCTGATTGATGTTAATTAGCACTTGGTAGTGTGTTTTCCAATCTACGTGCTAGGATAGCATAAAGATTTTATAATCTATTTTAAGAACACTTATAGGCCTATAGTTTCCACATTCTTGTCTATCCTTACCATCTTTGGGAATAACTGAAATTAGAGTAGGAGCAGCTGTGGCTGAGTGGTTAGAGCAGTCGTCCTCTAATGCAAGAGTTGGGGGTTCGAATCCACCAGCAGTCACATGCCGAAGTGTCCCTGGGCAAGACACTGAACCCCTCATCACCTCTGATGTGTGTCCCATCAGTGTTTGAATGTGATAAAGCTCTGATTAGTCTCTTTAGAATGATTTGTTCAATTAGCTTTGTATAGATCTAGTATAGAGCTGTATGAACGGGTAAATGAGGCACAGATTGTAGTGGAAAGCACTTTGAGTATCTCGATAAGCTACAAAGGCGCTATATAAGTACAGTCCATTTACCATTTAGAGTATCTCTCCAGGAAGGTGGAATTTCTCCAGTCTGTAAAACCCAGTTGAATGTTTGTAGTAATAATGGTGACAGGCTTGATTTCAGACATTTGTACCACTCTCCTGTGAATCCATTGGATCCTGGAGTCTTCCCTGATTTTAATCTGGATATACCCAAGTTCAGCTCTTTCACCGTAATTGGACTTTCTAGCATTTCATTTTGCAAATTTTTGACATTTGGTAAATCTAGGCCATTTAAGAAGTCATCAACGTGCTCCTCGCTTGCAGCTGGGGGTTGAGTTAATAATTCTTGGTAGAATTATTTTAAACATTATTTAATTCCTCTCCTTGTATTCTCTATATTATTTGTTTTAGGATTTCTAATTTTGTGAATCACATTTTCCATTTGTTGCTTGTGCAGTTTATAAGCTAGTATTTTGGCTGATCTTGCACCAACTCCAACATTTCTTTGTTTTAAGAATATGAACTTCTTTTGTATTTCCAAAATGTTGTCTATTTCACCCTGTATTTTCTTAATTCCTGATCTTATTTGAGTATTGGTTTTCCTGCTATAAGTTGCAACTTTAGTCTTGTCTGCAAGTCTGACAATTTCTTTCCTCTACACTTTTTCATGTATGAAGTCCAGGAGTTGTTTTTCCCCTTAAGACACTTTTAAAGTATCCCACAGGATTGTTATTGAACTTTCTCCATTGTCATTAAGTTCTAAATAATATTGTATATCACGCTGCAGTTTTTCTATTGTTTTGGGAGAATTGAGAATATATATATTTAATTTCCACAAAGTCCTCTTTGTTTCATTTTTCAAGTTGACTAGTAAGATAACGGGACTATGGTCCGACAGTTTGTGGATATCTGAGAGTAGTTTATCCTAAATCTATCAGAGTTAAATACAAATAAATAATCTATCCTAGAATAAGCTGAGTGAGGGGCTGAAAAGTGGGTAAAGTACAAGTCCCTCCACACATCTATAATATAATGATCTAATGATTGTTAATAGTAATTTTACCCTGACACCTGGCAGGTACTAGTTCATGTCATGTGACTCAGTTTTTTGGCTGCAGCCAGACTTTTAAGTACTTACTGACCTGAAATTGTATCCAGGTGAGACAGAGGTTTTCTGTGACATGGCATCCAGCCGAGTGAACGAGTATGCAGGCTTGCACTGGTCATCCGACTTGTCGAGATCACACATCCAACTAATCTTTATTCCAATCACTCCACCCTGGCAGATTGATCAATATGAGAAAAATACATTTGACTGAATTCCACCAAGTCATGAATCCTGACAGGACAGACCATGTGTACAACTCCACTTCTGAAAAAGTTGGGATGTTGTGTAAAATGTAAATAAAAACAGAATGCATTTATTTGCAATAGTCATGAACTCATAAGTCATTCATTATGTCAAAGTAAACATAATCAATGTTTAAACTAAGAAATGTTTACTTTTTTAATAGGGTAAATTTAATGGTAGCAACACATCTCATAAAGTTTAGAGAGGGGCAACAACAGGCTGTTAAAGAAACAAAAGATATCAGTTCTGATTACCTGTATGCATACCAATAATCATAGGTGTACTGATACCACAGTACAAATACCACTACAGCATGATACCACAGTACAAA